CTTATTTAGAGCTTTGGTTTCTTTACTTATTTTTTGTCTTGTTGATCTATCCATTGTTGATAGTGGTGTGTTGAAGTCTCCCACTACGTATGTGTTTTCTCTGATGTCTGTTTTCAGAGAGGACAACAGTTGTCTGGTATATTTTGGTGCTCCTTCGTTTGGTGAGTATATGTTAATGAGTGTTATTTCTTCTTGAAGTATTGTCCGCTTGTTCATAATGTAGTGACCATTGGGGTCTCTTTTTATCTTTTTGAGTTTGAAATCTGTTTTATCTGATATAAGTATAGCTGTTCCTGCTTTCTTTTTTGGTCCATTTGCTTGTAGGATTGTTTTCCATCCTTTAACTTTGAGCCTATTTTTATCTTTTGTAGCTAAATGTGTTTCCTGGAGACATAAATGCTAGTAATTTTTTCTAATTATTTTATAAGACATGAAAGAGAGAAATATTAAGATCTGAACTTTTGAAACTATCACCCACTTTATCCTTCCATGCTACCTGAGCTTCCTCTACCCTTTATTCAATTTGTGTAAAATTCTAGGTTCCAAGTGTCTCTGGAACCGAGAACCTCAGTCTTACGAAATTTGAAAATAGTACATGGTCGTAACTTGGATATAGATTTTAAGATTTAAGTCCCTACATTGGAAGGTTCTATCCACATATATTAATGAAATGCCATGCCTTTAAAGACTTAATGAAAATAACATTAGGAGAGATAGAGGTTTTCCTGTAATTGCAAATTAGTTCTGTCACTTATTTCCTTAATTAACAGTAATTCATTATCTGAGGGCTAGATATAATATCTTTCAATATTTTCCGAGAATGAGTAAACACCAAAATATATTCCTGCCAACCTTCATGTCATCAGTCCATACTTTAAAATGAAATGTAACTGGTTGATTCAACTTGAAATTGGGAGCTTTAAGTTCCCACTTTGTGATATGGTTGAAATATTGGACAATCAATTTTCAGTATCATATTTAATTAACTCTAAAAAGATTATACTTTATCCATCATTGGGTTTTCAGTCTTGGTCATAAGTACTAAGTTAAACACTATAAAGAATGTCAAATTAAGTTGGAGAAACAAATGAGCTACCTGTAGGTTTTTGGCCATATGCTATGTCATTATTCTGTTTCAGACATGTATGGCCTTACCCTACATACATGTAGCTGAGATTTCATGTTTAGGAAATCCTCTGAATTCCTTGATTGAGCTAAATTTCCCTCCTCTTTTCTCCGAGCACAACCCATCTCTCTCCCCTTTTAATTGTATCATTTTTATTGAGGTAACATTGTTTTAAAACACTGCATATGTTTTAGGGACATAGGTTCCTACCTCTTCAGACTTATGTTACCACACAGTGCCTACCACTAAGGCACCCATAATCTTCCATCCCACTGCAGTGGATCCCCACCACAATTTGCTCCAAAACCCTACCTTCCGCTTTTTATATCCTCAGTTGTGCAGGTAGACATAGAGGTTTTTTTTGCTTTAATTTTGTGTGTTCCTTCATGTTGTTTCTTTTTGTTACACATGACTGAAATTATCTGGTGTTTGTCTTTCTCTAACTTATTTTGATTAGTGTAATACACTCTGTTCCATCCTTGTGGTTCCAAACGGCAAGATTTTAGCTTTGTTTTTATAGCTGAGTAATATTCCATTATGTAAATATACCTCATATTCATAATCTACTCATCTGTCCTTGAGCACTTAGATTTCTCCATGTTTTGATTATATAAATTGAACTGCAATGAACAAAGGAGTACATGTATCCCTTCAAATTAGCATTTTTGCATTTTTTAGCTAGACCTAAAAGTGTAATTTTTAGATCATATGTTAGATCTACTTTTAACATTTTGAGAAATTGCCTTACAGTTTCAAGGGATCTTACCCAAAGCAATATACAAATTAAATGCAATCCCTATAAAAGTTTTGATTTCATTCTTCACAGAAACAAACATTGCTGAAATTTATATGGAATCATAAAAGGCCCCCAATAGCCAAAGCAATACTGACCAAAAAAAAGAACAAAGGTATCACACTCCCAGGTTTCAAACAGTAATGCAAAGCTATTGTTGTCAAAACAATATGGTATCAGAATAAAAATAGACACATAGACCAATGGGTTGGAATTGAGAGTCCAAAAATGAATCCATACTTATATGAACAATTAACTTTACAACAAAATAGCCAAGAATATACAGTGGAGAAAGGAAAGTCTCTTTAACAAATGGTGTAGAAAACCGGAAAGTCACAAGCTAAAGAATGAAACTAGACCACTTTCTCACATGATACACAAAAATTAACTCAAATGGATTTAAGACCTGAGACCACAAAATATATAGAAGAAAACAGAGGCAAAACACATCATAATATTGACTTCCATGATGTCTTGGGGATTTGACTCTAAAAGCAAGGAAAATAAAAGCAAAAATAAACCAATGAGACTAAACATCAAACTAAAAAGCAGACTGACGAAATACACTGCTGAGGGGAGCAGTGTATAATTTCTTCACAGTGGAAGAAATTATCATTAAAATTTAAAGACAACCGGGCCTCCCTTGGTGGCGCAACGGTTGAGCGCTGGGCTGGGAAGCTGCCCGCAGCCTCTGCTGCTCCAGTTCAATCCCCGGCCGCTGGCGAGGGTCCCACATGGCACGCAGACCTCACCTGCCACAGGCTGCTCCCCTCAGCAGTGTATTTCGTCAGTCTGCCTGTTCTGTTCTCCACTCGGGCTCTGGTGAATTCTCTCACCCTCCCGTGCTTCTGACTGTACCCAGTGCTTGTATAAATAAATAAATAAATAAATAAATCTTTAAAAAAAAAAAATTAAAGACAACCTAGTGAATTGGAGAAAATATTTTCACATTTTACATTTACATTTTATAAACCTAACAAAGGGTTAACATCTGAGATTTGCAAAGAACTCATGTAAATCAACGAAAAGAAAACATACAACCAGATCAAAATATGGGCAGAAGAGATAAATAGACACTTCCCCTAAAAGTCACACAGAATAGCTAACAGGCACATGAAAACATGTTCATCGTCACTTATCATTAGAGAAATGCAAATCAAAACCACAATGTGATACCACCTCACACTCCTGCGACTAGCCCATATCAAAAACAAAAAGTAAGAAAGAAAGAAAGAAAAACAAGAAACCCAAAACATGTGTTGGTGAGGGTTGGGAAAAAAGGAAACCTGGTATACTGTTGGTGGGAATATAGACTGGTCATCATTCCTCTTTCTTAACACTTGTTATGTCATGTGAAACATTGAGTCTTCTCTCATGTGAATTGCAATATTCTCAAGGAAAATACTACAAGCTGTTTATTTTTTGTAATGCCAGTTGCTGCTTCAGAAGGGACTACCAGATGTTAGAGGTTAATAAGTGCTTGCTAAATTCAACTCATTTCAAATAGCAAACAATACCTTATAATGTAAAATTAAACACTAACAAGTTATATAATTGTTTACTCTGTGGAATTATGCCAAAGGAGAAGATCTGTAAAGTCCGGAAAGGTTTTCTGAGGAAGTTAAGACTTGATGTGGTCCTTCCATGTAGGAGCAGTCTAAGAAAAAAGCAAAACTATTTCCAGAAAATAAAAAAATGTCATTGACGTGGGAATGTACAACCTGTATTGATGGGCTAGATAGATGACAGGAATAGAGACAGTTCCAGGAAAGGACAGAAGTAAGGTCGGATAATTAAGTTACTATCACACTATAAATTTTCATTAAAACTCATAATTTAGACTAGATATAAAAACCAAAGAAAATGAAAACAATTGGACTATTCAAATACATTTGTTAAATATTCACAAATACAGGTATTGTACAGAAGGCACTATGCTTGGGGGTTTGTCAGAGATTCTGTGATATTTAATTTGCATAAAAATGCTTGTCTCTATTTATTTTCTAGCTCTATTAAAAGAAACCTGGATCACATAAGATCAAAAGCAAAGTGACATCATATGTTTCTCCAAAACAACCATTCAAATAGTATTTTTGGAACTTCTATTGTGCAGTCTTCATTAGTAACAAAAAGTCACAAAACATTTGTAAGCTATAACTCCAACTAACTGAGAGTCTCTAACCTACATGTGGAGACACAAAAAATGAAATATAAATTATGGAAAAAGGAATTAACTAAATTCCCTAAGGTTATATCACTAAATATTATAGGTAGAATTAATGGCAATTCAAGTAGAAGATTTTGAGATGTTTTGGAGGGAGTGACATAATAAAACGAGATTTAAGTCAGAAAATCTGAACTCCGTCTCTAAATTTGAATGTTGTCTACTCACCATTCATTTTCTAAAATGTGTATTACTATCTTTCACAGAGGGTTTCTGGGTGGGTTAATTGAGATGCTGTCTAACTTCTTAGAACAGGTATTTTTAAAATATTATTTCAAGGCCTCCCTGGTGGGGCAAGGGGTTGAGACACAAACTGTGAGGCTGTCTGCAGCCACTGCAGCATGAGTTCGATTACCAGATGGGGAGCTGCCCACATGGTGCAGCAGACCTCTCCTGACTTCCCTGCTGCTCCCCTCAGCAGTGTATTTCAGTCAATCTACCTGTTCTGTTCCCCAGTCTGTCTCTGATGAGTCTTCTCACCTCCCGCATCTCTGGCCTGTTCCCCAGTTCTTGTATGCATAAATGAATGAATCTTTAAAAAAATAAAAATAAAAAAATAAAATATTATTTCAATCTGAATCTACCTAGAAAGCTGCTTTTTCTTACCTGAGTTTTTATAAGTATATAGTGAGCTATTAATTCCTGAAACACTGTGGTCTGCGTCCTCTCCGTTGAGAGGACACATGCCCATGACATTGCACAGGCACTGATGAAAAGATAGTTCCGTTCCTCTAGGTAGCACCAAAAGCACCTTTGCTTTATGGTTAGTCAGCCATCCTCGAGGTCCAGGACAGTGCTCTATGTTCAGGTCAGTTTTGCTTCATCAACTTTACCACCCCCTTTCTATTCCATATCAGATGATCCTCTTTTCTGCCTGCTGCATCTGTGGACTCATTGGGGGCATCCTGAATTTTCAATTCCTCCGGGCAGTGACAAAGAAGACGTCATCTCTCTATCCTCTGCATCTGGCCTCCATGTCGCTCGCGTGCATCGGCATCGGGGGCTGCACGCTGTCTTCATGGCTCACGTGCCGACTAGCCAGCTATGAACAGAGGAGGATGTTTTCAGAAAGGGAGCATTCCCTGCATCACTCTCATGAAATGGCCGAGAAAGTGAGTTTTGTGCCTTTTCTTCTCACTGTTATCACTGCAGTCAACTTGCAGCTTCAGATGCGAAGTTAAGGAACTGGATTTTATAAAAATTTAGCCCATTGGACTGAGAATTGAAATTTTTAAATTATTTTTCCTCTGTAATTCTGGTTCCACCAATTTGCAACATCATTTGTCAACCTCTCTATATGAAAACATAGATCCTAAAATAGAATTTCATAAACTATTGAGTGCCTTATAAATACGCATTTTTATGTATTATACTGAGGAAAAACATGTAAACTAAATTCACTCTCCACTCAATAATGCCAGTTTTAGAAACTGCATGAATTCCTCTTTCTAGTGCACCCCTTGTCATTGTAAGTAGATGCATTTGATTATGTAAATTAGATTTTCAAGCATAAAGGGATCTTTTAATAAGGCAACAAAAAGCCTTGACTATCAGTGCAGTTATTACAATCCACATAAAGCTTTGCTTAATTCTTATCTAAACTTTATGCATACTTGGTAATTTTGCCTGTATTTTAAAAAATATTCCTTGCGTAATTGTTTCATGAAACCCATTCAAACAGGAAGTTACATTTATTACCTAAGAGGACAAGCAGTATAATGAACTGTCTGTTTCTATTACATTTTGCACATTCCTTAATTCAGTTTCTGCTACTGGATTAATTAAGGAAAAGTAGAAACTTCTGTAAAATAAACTAAAATAATGTCTGCATCATATTTTACTTCCTATCATGGAGATGAAACTGTGTACCTACAGAAAACAAGAAAGAGTATAAGAGTTACTACTGCATATTTATGTTACCTAAAAAATTATTTTGTAGTTTTATTTATTTCCATTTCATATACAATTTATACATTAAAATAAGGAGAGGAAATACTCTTAATTTGTTCCAATAAGACAGTTTTAAAGAGCCCTATGTATGTCCTCCAAAAAAGAATAGTTTAAATAGCAGGCTAGGTAATTTAAACAAATCGATTATTAAATAAATACAGGCGATCATATATTTAGATAGTGGCTCCTTCATGCTCTATTTTTATGCTAGTGTGATTTCATTTTTTTATGTATATGTTTTTGCAATATTTATTGTATGATTGTTATATTTATATTAGAGATTGAGGGCTATTGAAATTACCGACTTGCCCAGCTGCCCGGTGGTGCCCCCGACACCAGAGTTACCTACAAGGTACGCTGATTTCTAGGGAGTTACCATGTTGTAATGTCTGCAGGAAGAGCTGCTGCTTCTAGCAAGCCATGATGTCAGCAGTTCAGTCTGGACTGATGCTGTGATGTTGTTCCTCAAAGTATTGTTTCCATGAGAGCTACTTTGAGGACCTGACATGGACCTACATGGCAGAGTCTTGCAGCTTGAAAGTTGGCTGAGTATTTAAAATATTCAGCCTGCCTATAACCATCCAAACACATTTCTGCTTGGATGATTCACAACTCCTTTATTCTCTGCCACCTCATGATTCTGACTCAATACCATCATTCACACACCAGAGTTTTATTTTTAATAATAGATGTGCCTGACAAAGACAGACTGTGTATCTCCCTCATGTCAAAATTGCATGAGAAGACAACCTAAATTTGACATTAATACAGTAAAATATTATGTATGAAAACTTTTTCTTATAAAATTATCTGATGCACTACCTTTCAAATTTATAACCCATATTTTAGATTGCTAAAAATGATAATTTCCATTTTTGCTTCAGTTAAATAATATAATTGGAAATAGAGGAAGACATATAGATACTATGTCCCAATGCAGAAAGTATATCCATTTGCAAATAGTCACATTTGTTCCTCTTGCAATTTAGAATGTAATCTTCCTATTTAATTAAACATGCCTATTTGCAAGTAAACTAAAGATACTCATACTTTAGAAAACTAATTTTTGCTGTTGTTTCTCATAGGTGATTTTATCAGTAATATGTTTCCATATTAGGGTCAAAGACTATGTATTAGATTAGTTTTCATTAAGAAAATTATTTACTTTGTTAAATTTTAAAAGTGGAATTTTCCCAAGAAGTCTCGCAATTATTTTAGGAGGAGAAAAGATACTTAAGAATCTTATTTCTATGATTTCCTTACACAACTGTTTCTTTGTTATAGGGGGAGTAATAGAAGAAGAGGTATAAATAAATGCTGTTAAGTATCATTTTGGAAGAATCTTATCTATTTATCTTGCCACCAACCATAAGTTCTGAAATGAAGCCTCAAATCAAGTTTCTTATCTGTAAACTTCACCTCAGACCAATGACCCCCATATTTTCAGGCCTACTTTTACCACGTACATCTGTAACGCAGTCAGTCTCTTATCAGACTGGGCTATATGTATCACCAGACCATAGAGGCAGGCTGCTAGTACTCCAGGATTTTCTCTACTTCCTGACAGAGGCTTTACTCTGAAGGGGTTTGTGTTTTGCCACTTTTCGGGGTGTGCTCCTCACCTTCCTGGGGAAGACATAATGGAAACCCATGTGTAAGACAACCAACCCCCAAAGGCTTAGAGGAACCAAAGCACTTTGCCTGAGAGACAGATCTTAATGTGAAAGGAGAAAATGTCTCCAAAGGTATTGTCTCCTTTGCCAAAATTTTCTTTGAAGAAACTTCACCCCATTTTCTAAGAGACAAAGAAGTTTTTATGAGCTGATTTCAAGTTAGGACAATTTCTATCTTCAAGTTTCTTAGTGCTCCTCCTAAGTAACTTTGAAAGCCACTCAAGACAAAAAGCTTTATTTTATTTCATGTCTTATATTGAATGTTAGAAGAGATTAAAAATGAGGCATGAATACCTTTTTGAAAAATAAATATTTAAAAAAGTTTGTAAAAAGTATTAATGTTACTCTTAAATTTTTAGTTCACCCAAATAAATAGTAATCTAAACTGATACACGAAATAATTGAGAAATTAATTTTCATTTGAATTATTTTTACCATTCTTTTGCAAATAGGCTTGTTCAAGTTGAAAAGATGTTGTCATTTATTTTTAAACAGTTTTGCCTAAATATTATGACTACACTAAATGGATACATGTAAATGTGAATGGGCCTAACTACTCGTTACCTTTTATTATATAGGAAAGAGCTTAATGTTTAATGAAACACATGAATTCAAACATCTAAATTTTTCTTAAGATATTTTCTATTATTGCAAATGGAACTTGTGTGTTAGTTCATTCTATGTGTCTAAATTTTCATTGCCTTCCCATATAGTTTTCCTTATTACCTTGTTAGTAATTCATCTCTTAAAGAGAACATGTTAAGAAGTTTTACTGTTTGTTTGTTTGTTTTTTTTTTTTTGTACAGTAAAAGTGACAGTGTAATGAAAAACAATCTTTCCTTCTGTGATTTATGGGTGATTCATAGTTACAAAGGAGTAATGTTCCCTTGTGGGCCTTTTATGGTTTTCAGCAAGAAGCCCACTCTGTTTTCTATACAAAAAAGGTAACCCTTAGAGTCTCCTGGCCTTCTGTTAACATGCTCAAAAGAGCAGACAAATGGAAAAACTTGGGCATATAACCATCTTTTTCTTTCTAGGTGAGGTCTTTTCTAAGTAGAGTTGAGAAACGAAAGGGTAGCTTAGGGTACTGGGAGAGATTAAACTGTTTTTGTGGGTTGCAGACTTTAGCCTAAGTCTGTCACTTCAGCATTTTCATGTGCTCCAAGATGCCATGAAATTTCATTTCCTCAAATGCAACGACAATATCAATCTTTGTCCTTCCCCCAAATTTAGCAAGTTTTTCTATGGTTTAAAAACCATTTCTTCTTCTATTTTACAAACCCATTAACAATTAAATCAATGTCTTTCTCTAAATGTGAATTTTAATTAATTAATGTTATTTTTCTAACAGGAAATGACAGACAACATGAGCAATGGAGGACCACAATTGATATTTAATGGAAGAATATAATGAATGTTTTAAAGAATCGAACACTTTATAGGATTTTCATGAGGCAAGAAAATACCAAAGGACTAGGAGAAAAATTTTAAAAAGTTCTTGCATTTGCTGTTCTGTCTCTCCTGTGCACACACTAAAATTATTCGTCTGCAAGTTTGCCTCACTTATTTCTTCAGCTTTTTTTTCAAATGGGAATGGGTGAAAAACTTTCCAGAAATGTTCTAGCACAGTAATTTCAGTAGGCTTTCTAGATTGTTCGAATGAAGATGTTTCAAAAAAAGAAAGAGGCATGGAAGAGAGAAAGACTCACATTCTAGGCAAATACTATTTGATTAGTATGAGTGTCAGATTTGTAATGACATATTTCATATAAGTCATTTGAAAGTAAGACTATCAGAAAATAACAATACTTATTAATGTCTTTGTTTTGAAAGACGATGGCTTCAAGAATGCCACAATCCAGCACCTCAGCAATGCCTTGTTATAAAAATATTGTAATTATTTTCAATTTGTGAATGAACTCTATTTCATAATTTATTTGTAAACAATAAAAAACTAAAGCATTAAAAAGACATTTTTTAGAGATAGACAATACTAATCTGTATGATATTTTTGCATTTTTGCACAAGAGTGAAAACTTGTAAATGAATATCATTTATGGGAAATAAACTTGTTTTGATCATACTGTGAAGATTGACCTGCATGTTCATGAATTAGCTAAAGAATAACATCAAGTACGTGTGTGCGTGTGTGTGTCTATATAATACTGTAAATATAGTAAATATATACAGCATCTATTTATAGAATTCATGAATGTAAATAGGTAGGAAAAAACCCGTGATGCTCTGGGGGGTTGCCAAGAACCTTTCCACAAAGATGGAAAAGCAGTGAAATGTTCAACACTTTTCTACGCCCTTAAAATCACGTATTTGATTTTCACTAAATCTGTTCATTTTTATTATTTTTATTATGTCTGTTGTGTGTAAATGTCATTGTGGCTGATATTTATGGAGTTGAATGATATGAGTAGTATAGTATAAAGATAGATTATTTACCTATTTGATTATATTTTACTATGATTATGGTATTTATGTAATAATAATTAATACCAATTTATAAACATTAAATCACATACTTCCACTTATAAATATAGACCTAATGACTTTGATTACTCATGCTATTCATATTTCAAATATTTTGCAGTCCAATTAAGTAATATAAAAGGACAGGTCAACATATATACAAAAGATGAATTAACGGCTCTAATTTAATTTAGATTTTTTGTTTTGTTTTACAATTTATATGAAACAATGCAGACAAACCATTTTTAAGAATACATATATCCAAAGAACCTAAAAGAGTTGTCTGTAGAGGGAATTAAAAAGGTAGGATTACATTTACATAGCTAGATTCAATCCTTCTTTTCCACAATGGAATATTAAAATAGCAACCTATGACAATACATACAAGCAAGAAAATAGCATAGTCTTGAAAATATTTATGAGAATATAACCTTTGGCACCAAATAAAGAACTCTAATATTTAAAAATATATATGACTCTCTTGTATACTTTGTTTCCCCCAAGCTTCATTTTTCATGTCATTGTTGAGTTATTTATTTGAACCATAGGTAAATTAAAACCTTTATTATCTAGTATGAAAATGTTATAATTTAGAAGCAAAATGTGCATTTTAACTGTGCTAACAAAGAAACGATAACTCCAGTGAAGGGAATCTGAAGGGCTTTTAATTTTGGAGCAACATGATCATCACCTACCATATTTAAATCAGCTCATAAGAAAATTCTGGCTGTATATATTCAAATAATAACTGGACTATGGTTGTTTTATGTAGTTTTTGAAGTCTCCTAACTTACTAGGATAACTTCGTTAACTAATAGATTGCAGAAATTGTCCAAAAATGCAACATCAAATAATGAATCAATATCATCACTGAACATTTGAAACCACAAGCAGTCATGATCTTTGTCATTGAAAACCTAAACTATATAATGCAAATATTTTGTGTGTATATGGTTTTACTGAATTATCTAAGGACGTAGCTTTGTACTGAAAGTATATTTAACCAAATATAGGTGTATCTTTCAATGTAATTATTTTCACTTAATGTTTTCTGGACTCAATTGTTAGAGTGATTTATTTGGGATGTGTAGTTATTCTTTTTGAGATAAGTAGGGGAAGTTATGAAGACATTGTTAAAGTACTTGAATTTTTATTTTCACAATGCATTGAACTATGGACTAGAATATTTGAAGTGACTACAGTTTTAGTACAAGCCTACCTTGGGGAAAAATAATGTGATACTAAATTAGGGAAAAAAATGTGAAACTAGTTTGGTGGTATGCTATCAAGACTAGCTACAAAAAGGCTTAGTTATTGTAAGCATAAAAGAGTAAAAGGGGACTTTGCTTGGAAGTTTTTAAATATGTGTGTTTGTGTGTGTACACACATACATATGATTTTTCAGATTGGAACATGGGGTGGTGACTACTGCTATGCCTATGTAATAAAATGGTGTTTTGAACTTACATATGGTGTGGACTTTATTTTCATTATGATACAGAAAATAGCTCCCCCTTGATAGCTAAAAGAATGAAAGTGCTGTTTTGAGATCAGCAGAGAATGGACTGTTCTTTGGAGGAAGAGAGCATCCCAACTAGAGGATATGGACTTTAAAAAGCATTATTAGCAATAGGAAAGATTAGAATATGCTCAAATATAAAAAGGAAATGTTTGAAGATACAGCACAAAATAAGAATAAATTGAGTGAAGTCTCTGAGGGGACAGGAGGAAATAAAATGTGGATCATAGGAGATCTAATTCACTCTGAGTATACTGAAATTGCAGATGATCTCACAAATGAAACCATGATATTTAGAGAACTCTGCTGTCCTATTTGGGCTTGTGAATTGGCTGCTGCTGGCATTGGGGTAGACAATAATTCATTGAGGAGAATTTCAGGTCATTAAGTATCCCTTATTCCTATCCACTAAATACCATGAGGGTAACTGTCATTGCAATGACCAAAAATGCCCTGACAAATTTTCACCTCTTTGGTAGGAAAGAATTGTCCCTAATTTAGCACCACTGAGGACAATCCTTGTACATGATCCAAAGCAGCCAGCATTAACGCCTGTACTGTAGCATAAGCGATGCTAATGCGGTACTAATGCTCAGTATCATAAGCTGACTGTTGTAAGGCCTACCTGTATTACTGATACAGTAGCCACTGTCCTAACCACATGATTATTTAATTCAAATACCAATTAACTAAAATCAAATATTCACTTTCTTAGTTGAACAAGCTATAATCTACTGAATGGTCACTTATGGACAGTAGTTACAAAGTATTTCCATGCTCTCAGAAAATCTCATTAAATGGTGCTAGTCACAAGCATATGCAGAACTGTTTACTAACCCTCAGTTCTTACATCGGTTCTTCCACAACCACCCAATTTTCATTATCATAGATCACTCTAAAAGATTTGGTTAAGCACTCCATGGAATTTGAAGTTTATGGACCAGTAAAATTTAAGGCCTAAACAGCACTAGCAAATGTATAGAATAGGCTGAACCTATAATAAAATTGAGAAATTGCTTTAGAGATTTCATATTTTAAAAATTTTGTTCATAGACTGCTGAATCACTGAATATTTTATGTTTGATAGGTTGACTGAATGTTGTATAATTCCTATGTTTGAAGAAATTTGCCCCACCTGCTACCTTCCATACTATGAATAATCCTGCATTTCCGTGCTTGACAAGGTAAGAACGTCAATGTGTTACTTTACATTTTTTTAGTGACTTTGCGCAAAAGTGGCTTGTTCAGAAATCTTATGTCCAAAACTACATTTTCAAAGATTATTTAGCAAATGTGTTCCAGAAACTTAGAGTGAGCAGCTTAAGTGCCATTTGGTTAGAAACGATTTCCAAATAAAGTTTCAGAACTTGGCATCACTTTACTCTTTCTTCTTTAAATCATTTTCTGGAAACATATGTAATATTTCTTACTCTAAGTGTATGACAGCCAAGAAATTTAATTATTTCAAATCCATAAATCACAGGTTGTCACGTATTCATAGCAGAGGAAACCAATTCAGAAATTGCTGGAAATGTGGGTGCCTAGTAAAATTATACAGAAGGACAATTTTTTTTACTACTTTTGCCATGAAAACTATTTACTGAAGATGAGTCTTCACTAGGAATGTATTTCCCAAAATACAAATATATTGATAAAGGTCAAGTTCTGGATCTAATTTTTTTATATTCTAATATTATCTACATCAATTAATTATAGGCAGATAACCTTCATTTAATTGGAAATCTTGAAGGATTAGGATACATCTTACCTTCCCTTCACATCAATTAGGGACTATTATTTTGTTTTGTTTTTCCTATTAACACCAAAGGATCTAAATCAACAGCAGCACAAAACAGTCTAAGCCCTTTCCCCAAAGCCAAATTATATTATGGCCCTAAAAATTACAAGAACTAAAGTTACACAATAAAGTTACAATTGTAACTAAAGTTACAATAACTAAAGTTTCACAGAAAAACCTAAAACATCGTCCAATTTGCATCAAACCTTTTGTTAATCACAAGGGGTGGGGATTCATGACAGTCCTTTGTTATTTGTCAGTCTGGATATTGGTCCCTACCTACTCACTGAGTTTCTAAAACATTCCACATCATTTTGAGGGATGGCTAAATGAAATTCCTTGGGCTCTACACAGTCATTGCCCAGGAAAGAAAAGCTACAGATCCCTTTGTGGGCCAGTCTCCCAGGCAACACAGTCCCTCACCTTGTCCCTCAAATAAATCAGCCAAGGCATGAAGCAACACTCACCCTTATTCATATATATGTATGCTAGTAAGGCTCCTATTTACATAGTCGTCTGGATTTCCACTGCCCTCATTACTTTGCCCCAAAATCTTGAGATCAGTACTTCACATTTTTGGTTGTTT